AGTATACTAGGCACCATGTACTTGTAGAGTACTAGAAAGTATATTGATTTAAAACTTGTTCGTACTAAATTGGGATGTTTTAGTTTATAAAAAGTATACTTTAAGTATACTGTCTTTTTAAGTTTATAAACTTACCAAAAAGAAGTACACTTGAAGTACATGTCATTAAGTATACTGAAGTTAATAAAAGTTTATTTCCCTAAGTATACTTTTATTTACCATGTATACTGATGTAAGTGTTTACTATATAAGCAGATATAAGTTTACTAACAAGTATACTTCTAGGACTAAACTGGCCCACAAAATGTTTATGAAATTATACTCAGAAGTATACTGAAAGCAATCTAAGCATAGTTTTAGTTTAATCTTGAAATATACCACAAATAAACCAGTCTGTATAAAAAGTGTACTACTAAAGTTTATCTTGGCCAAAAGTTTAACTATTAGTATAAACTAAGTATACTTAAACTTTTAGTATACTTTTAGTACAAGCCAAGTATAATGTAAGATAAACTTGGTTAAGTATATCTCAGATAAGTACATAAAAAGTAAACTAGAAGTATACTTTTTTATTTTAAATTTAAAATTAGTCTACTTAATGGATACTTCCACATACTACAGTTTGCTAAGGGATACGTCACGTTGTACTGACTGTCAGTACATTACACAGGATTTTCCACAATTTGCAGGTAAACAGATGTTTAGAGAAATCTCACAGATTTTTCCAAACCTCTGTTTTAAATTTATTGCGTGTGAGCACTTCGGATTTTTTTATGAAAATTCTGAAGTTTTGAGGGTGAAGATGTAGCCGAATGTCTGAAGGGGCTGACAAACACAAAGGTGTTTCTTAAAGGGACACAAACAACAAAAATCTGGATTCGAAATTTCAAGATGGCCACCACAGCGTACTTCAAACGGTTATAAATCAGCTGTTTTAAGAGATACTAAGCTGACATTTTGTCTGGTAGCAACTACAGATAATCTAAAAAACATGGTGAATAGTATAGTTCCAATTTTAGCTAACCACTAATGGTAATTTTACAAAAAGTTATAATTCAGCCTTTTTAACACAAAGCTGAAAATTTGTTTTGCGGTAGCCAAAAGCAATATTTATCAAATTCTAAATGCTAATCAAAAATCCAAGATGGCCGCCGCAGCCAAATTTAAATGGTTATAATTCAGTCATTTTAAGACTTATTGAGCTGAAATTTGTTGTGTAGCTCAGAATGATCCCAAACACATGCTGATTGCTAATCCCAACTACCGCTAATGCTAATCTTAATTTTACAAATAGCTGAAAGTAGCTAGTCGATAAACAACCAGACACTTTTAGACACTTAAAGCTGATATTTGTATAAGAGTTGCTGACAATAATCAGCAAATCCAAATATAACTCACCAGTTTTACGACATATTGAGCTGAAATTTTGTATGGAGCGAGCTATGATCACCAACATATTTAACAGTCAAATCATAAATTAAAAATGGCGGCCACATCGCAGCTGCTCCTTGTTGTTATGTTAAAGTCTGGCCACTAGATGTCACTCTATTTTTATTACCCGGTTCTTAAACCCAGAAAATTTACACATAATTATTGTTTTATATTATTTCAGTGATTCAGAAAAGTTATTGTTTTTATCTTCACACACTGATAGATTCCCTCTGCACCAGATAAAACAGCTGCATCACAGATATTTTCTCTGTTTCTGCTCTAACTGCTGTGATCCCTACACTTGTCAATCATTTAGAGGTGGCACCTGGTGGTAGAGCTGGGCGGTATGACTCAAATTTTATATCACGGTATTTTCAACAATTACACCGGTTTCACGGTATTTGACGGTATTTTTTTTCCTCACAGGTCAGCTGATAATAAAATGCACAAACTTTGCTTATTGACTTTTTTCTTTTATCACTGTTACCCTCCTCTTGTACGTCTTTTCTTCTTTGCCTGGTTGTAGACAGTAATCATGCATTTTGGTCCCATCGTGAAGGGTTGAGAAAAATCATTATCTGGTCTATCGTTATGTCTTAATAAAACACGTTAATAAAATAAGGATGACTCACCTTGCACATCAGTCAACTCCGCTAAACTACAAAGCTACTTCCCCCTGGGCTTTTCACAATAGAAGCACGCTAGTCTCCATGCAATAACGTCTCCATTATAACGCAGCGCGTTAAATCTAACCGTGCACGTCACTGAAGAGTTGTTTACTATTCAGCAATGGTGAAAACGGGATGTTTTTTTTTTTTACATCAGACCATATAAGTGGCTGAAACACACCACCCGCCACCAGTTGTTCCAACAATAACGTTAGCATGCTAATGCGCTTAGCGGTGCTGCAACGAAATGTGTCCCCAGGGAAACAGCTCACTGGCGGCTGCGACGAAACGTTCCGCACGTGTTCAAGCTATACCGGTATTCAGAAAAGTCATATCATAACAAAAATAAAAACCGGTTTTTGGTACAAAACGGTATACCGCCCAGCACTACCTGGTGGCGCTTGCCTCCCCTGTCTCCTCTCTGGCTCTGACACTAAGTGTCGGGTCAGAATGTTGAAATATTCGGTGCTTCTCATTTCTCACAGGACATGAGCAGATTTTTGTGTGTTGGTTTAAATGCAGCTCAGTAAATTTTGATTACATAACTTTTTATACAAGAAAATAAATCCATCCGTTTTCTTTTTCAGGTGGCACATCACCAGCTCCCACCGATGTCATTGTTGTAGTTTCCCTGACTGTTGTTGTACTCCTCATGGATGAAGATCTCCTCCACCCTGAAGGTTTGCTCCGCCGCTGAGTCCATCTGATTCAGGGAGCTTTTCCCCAGAACGACGGAGAACAGCTGCTTTCTGCTCTGAAGTCTGAAACACAAAGATGTCGTCATGAGTTGTGTTGTTTCCTTTTTCAGCGCCTGACGGCTGACTTCACTTCCTACCCGCCGTCGAAGCAGTGGGCTGCCGTGAGGACCCAGCAGGGGGAGATCAGGCTGCCCCCGCAGAGGAAAACCTCCACCTGTCTGGTCCTCTGGAATATGGCAGCGAACCAGGGGTGGGACTTCACCGAGACCACCGATCCCCCCACAATCCTCATCTGCCTCCTTCCAGGCCGCTGACCACACGTCAGCTCTGCTGCTGGAGGAGAAAACGAACTTAAAAAAAATAACAATTTAAAGAAAATGAGATGAACAAGACGGAGAACTCACCTGTCTGTGTTTGAGTGGGTGCAGGTGACGGTGCAGGATTAACTGCTGGATTAAAACAGATGACTGAAAACAGCAACAAAAATAAACTCAACCCTAAAGATTCTTCCAGGATCTGACTAAAACTTACGGGATTTAAAGTCACAGAGTGGGATATTACAGTATTCCCAAACCAGACGGAGGTTTTTCCTGACATAACACCCGGGGCGCAACCTGAGGTTCACGTTTCTGAAAGAAAAAAAGACGTCCGATCAAAAACCTGCGGAGGTTTAACCAGCGAGTCGATTCTCCAGATCGATTCGAATCTTCTGAGCAACTCTTTAAAACGAACCGATCGTCCAGATTCAGCTCCGCCCACCACCATCCAGAGGGTCATCACGAGGTACTTTGTTAACAGACAGATTCAGATTAAGCCCCGCCCACCTGCAGTAGTTGTGTCTCCCAGAGAGGACATCCGAGGACAGGTGGCTGGTCCTGGTGTCCGAGTCCCAGTCCTCACAGGTGGTCCCGCTCACTGTTGTGGAGACGGTGCCTCTGTAGTACAAACCTACACCTTCATAACAGCCGGCAGTGTTCGCTGGAGCTACAGGAGGACGAGGAGCTGAAATTAACAAAAAACTAGTCAAAAAGCTGCATGTAGCTGAAAGAAGCTGAACAGTAGCTAAAAGTAGCAGAACAGTAGCTAAACGTAACATAACAGCAGCTAAAAGTAACATAATAGCAGCTAAAGTACCAGAACAATAGCTAAAGTAACAGGACAGAAACTAAAGTAGCAGAACAGTAGCTAAAAGTAACTTAACAGTAGCTAAAAACAACATAGCAGTGGAGAGTAGCAACAGTAGCTAAGCAGCAGAACAGTTGCTAAAAGTATAATTAGTATAATAATAAATTTTTGTTGTTGTTCCGCTCTCAGAGGAGTAAGACACTTCTTCCTTCTCTCCTGTCCTTCCTTATCTTTCCCTGCTTTGCTGCTGGAGCCTCCCTACATTTTTCATCCGAAATAAGAAATCATGGATGTTTTTATGGATTTGGTTAGCTGGTCTCTCAATAGATTATTTTGGAACAAAGCTTTTTCTTCTTCCATGGGAGGACATGTCAAAGGTGGGACCTCTGTTCTTCTCTGTTCTGGATATATATATATCTGGACTTCGATCACTGGATTCTGCAGATTGGCTTGGTGGTCTCCTGATGTTCTGAAAATCAGCGTCGGTGGCTGTTCATCTCCTGGCTGACTGACCAATTCGATGGGTGGCCATATTCTATCAGAACTCGGACATTTGCCTTGAGCAAGCTGGACTCGGTCTGCAAGCGGTTCTATTGAGGATGGTGGGCCGGCTGTGGTCCCTGGACTTTGCTGGCCAGATGGAATTGATCTTGGAGGAAGCAGATAGATCGGTTCGGCAGAATTTGTCCACACCATTTTGCCTGATTGGGATCGTCAACCTTGAGATGCAGGAACTCAGATGGAAAACTGTCGTCGTCTGCTTGTCTCTTTTGTTCCCAAAACAACTGATTACAGAATCTGGATCTCCCCGACAACGGCCTTGGATCTGCTGGCTAAATTCTTCCTGGCTGAATGTGTCGACAAGGGCTCTATCCCCCACCTTCCCCCCTCCTCTCGCCCGTTTAATCTGTTTTTCCAGAGCTGGCTGAAAGCTGCACAGAAATGAACAGTTTCCATCAATATTTCTGAACTATGGCTGCGCTGGTTTTGGGGACTGGATTCTTCAGCCCCCTTAAACTCACTTACTCCTCTGGCTAATAAACTTGCTCTATGCAGAGGTTTTTTTATAAACACCATAGTGTGTCACAGTGTTGATGTAATATGATGTTTTTGCTTTTTTCCTCATCCTCCCATACCTTGTGTGATTTTTTTCAGTTTTTCTTTGTTTCTAAGTTGGCGCCACGGCAGGCAGCCTGTTACTGCAGCTCCACTGTTTTGAGCTGCTGTAATGATCACATTTCCCCACTGTGGGATCAATAAAGTTCTATCTTATCTTACAGTGTCTTAAAAATCAAACCAGTGAACTAAAGCCGTTTTTGATGAGGACACTGCTCTCTGTTTTTCTTTGAGTGGGCTTTCTTTGTAAATAAGATTAAACAAATTAAAAGAAATGAAAAAAACAAAAAAGCCACTGCTTCTCTCCTGAATGAGCTGAATGTAGGAGCAGCTAAAGCAGCTTAAGACATGCAGCAGTTAGACTGTAAAGTGATAAGATAATATAAAACAATCTTACAGTTGGTCGGGTTTGGTTTGGACACAAGCGTCTGACGTGTTTCACATCGGCTTCCAGTGAAGCCGTCGGGACAAAGACAGAACATGTGTTGACCAGTGGACAGAGAAGGGACAGATGTCCCTCTGTTCAGACAGAACCCATCTACCAGAGGAAACATTTATTCTTAACATCAGAACAAAGGAACGTCATTGATGCTGCTTTTCTTACCTGAACTGTCTCTTCTGCTGCTCGTCAGTCCCTGAAAAGGTTTTTACAAAACAGATAAATCCAGGTCATGTTTGCAAATGAGAAGTGGTTCTTAAACAGTTTACCTGGATAAATAAAGGTAAAATAAATAAATAAATAAAATACTAAATAACATAAAAACAAAGTAATCAGAGTCAAATAAAAAGTTCTCACTGCTTCAGCTGCTGTCAGAGCTGCCAGCATGAGCAGAAAAACACTGAAGCTTCTCACAGCTCTCATGTTTTCTGTCTGAGGTCCAAACAGAGTCTGGACCAGTTTTCAGATGATTCTAAAATAAAACCCTGTCCTCTCTGAGAGGAGGACGGGCTCACAGCTGGTAAACAGCTGCTGAACAGCTGGCTGCTGCTTTTCATTTGGTTTGAGGAAATATTTAAAGAAGTCATGTTTGGTCCTTAGTTCTCAGGAATGTCATTGATCAGTGTCAGAAACCTCCTGCAGCTGTTTACACAACATCTGAGAACAAAAACATGTCTGTGATCCACCATACATCTACAACAAACCGACACAAGACCTACACCAGAACTACACCAGATTTACACCGGAATTACACAAGGTCTACACCAGATTTACACAAGCTCTACACCAGATTTACACCGGAATTACACCAGATTTACACCAGAACTATACCAAAATTTACACCAGAATTACACCAGATTTACACCAGAACTACACCAGATTTACACCAGAACTATACCAAAATTTACACCAGAATTACACCAGATTTACACCAGAACTACACCA